TTCTTTGAAAGCCTAGTAATTTTTTATTTGATGCTAGACATTTTGAATTTTATTTTTATTGAGTACTGGATGGTTTTGTATTTCTACAAATATTTTTGAGCTTTGTTCTAGGACTTGGTTAGGTCACCTGGAAACTGTTTAATTCCTTCAGATTTTTCTTGTAAACTTTATTAGGTGGTACAGATTGGCATTTAGTATAGGGCTAATTTTGCCATGCTCCTGATGCAACACCCTTTTGTGCATTTAAGTGAGCTCCAGAGGTGGTTCCTCTAACATTTCCAGATGGTTCTTTTCCTGGCCTTGGGTAGTTTTCACACACATACATTGCTGTGTACCTAGCTGAAGATTCACGGAGATTTTGTTCATATTCCTAAGTTTCCCTCTTTATAAAGCTCTCTCTTCTATGGTACTCTGCTCTGTGAACCCCCAGTACTCCCGTTTGAATGAGAAACTCCGTTTCTTCAACTCAAGAAGACTTGCTTCTTCCCAGTTGTTCCTCTCTGTGTCCCAGCCTAGAGACCATCCAGGCAGTAAGCCAGGACAATTAGGGGGCTCAGCTATGTGCTTCACATCTCTCAAGGATGACCAGTTTTTCCTTGCTTGATGTCCAATGTCATGAAAAATCACTGTTACATACAGTTCATCTGATTTCTTAGTTGCTTCAGGTGAGAGGATAAATCTGGTCCCTGTTACTTTGTCTTGGCTGAAGGCAGATGTCAAGATAAGAAATTTAAAGGCAACATTGTGGCCATGATGTTAGATCCATTTCAATCCTCAAGGGCATTAAAGAATAATAATGGTTATAAAGACCAATTTGGCACTTTCTGATTGGTTCTGGAAGTCTCTGGCTGCCAGAGTACAGGTTTTACACGATGCTTAATTTTTCATGGCCCTGAGAAGTTCAGTACAGAGAAATGCTGATCCTAGAGATGTACACCAACAGATTAGTTCTGTGCTCCAATGTGGGAATCAGTGTCATCCAGAAAGGGAATAATAATGCACACAGCAGCTCAAATCTTTGGGTGTTGACATTGTGACAGGCTTAGTTCTCAGCACCTTATGTGTATTAACTCACCAAGAGCCTTGGATTTTACCAATGAGGGCATTAATGCACAAGGAAAGAGACACACAGAGATGGTCACTAGGAACCAGCGTGTAGTCAATCACTATCAGATCTACTGTGCTGCTTTGAATAGTTTCCTGCCCTGGGGGTGGGGGGGAGCCAAAGAACACATTTGTATTGACCTCTGTGAGATATCTGACAGAGTCTTATGTGTATGCCAGTGAACCTGATGGTGAACTCAGGCTTAGAGAATCAATATATTATAATTATACAGGGAGGTCTTTAAGAGTTTCTTCCTCAACTCAGCTTGCCCACAGGGTTATCAGTAGTGGGGTGAAGTCACATAAGAACTTAAATTTTCTGTTAGGGTTATGGATGTATCCGAGATCAAAACATACTTACTGCGCACCTACTATGTGCCAGGCACTGACCAAGGTATTTGGGAAACACTGGGCAGCAAACGTGAAATACCTGCCCTTGAAGGGTTTTATAACCCAGACGAGAGAGATTATCAATAGTCATGACAAACAAATGAATTACATAGCATGTTAAAAAATGTTATGTTTATGGGGGCGCCTGGGTGGCTCAGTCAGTTAAGTGTCCGGCTTCAGCTCAGGTCATGATCTCATGGTTTGTGAGTTCGAGCCTTGTGTCAGACTCTCTGCTGTCAGTGCAGAGCCTGCTTCTGTTCTTCTTCCCACCCCCACCATCTGCATATCCCCTGATCTCTCTCTCTCTCTCTCTCAAAAATAAATAGGCTTAAAAGATGTTAAGTTTACGAACACAGGGCTTTCCCTTAGGGAATCAGGAGATCTGAGTGTTGTAGGATAGGTGGGGGAGGGTTACCAAGTTTAAATTTTAAATAGCATGGTCAGGGTAGGCCTCCTTGAGAAGGTTACCTCTGAAAAAAACAAACACCCAAAAAATAAGAAAGAAAAAACATGAGGGACTTAGCCACGGGGACAAGTGGGAGAAGAGCGTCCAGGCAGAGGAAACGGCCAGCATGAACCAGAGTGTCCTTGTCAGGAGCATGCCTTGCAGGTTCGAGGAAGAGTGGAAAGGCAATTAAATTGGAACCAAGTATGTGAAGGGGAGTGCAGAAGGAAATGAGGACCAGGAAGAAAAGGGGAAAGGGGCTCATACCAACACCAAAGAGTCGGTGTTACAGGGGAACAAGAAAGGAATAATATGACATATGCATGCTTTCCTGTTACACTGAACACCAGCTGAAATACGGACCCATAAAGGTCAACACAAGTAAACTGATGATAAAACAAGCCTCAGAACCCCGCAGCAGGGTGCTGCCTTGGTTTGGGTTGGAGTCACGTGATGTGTCCCAGGCTTAGGGCCAGCACCCCCCAAGTTCTTGGTTCCCAGCTGGCCTTCTGTCTTTCTTCTCCGACATTGTCTCTTGTGCATTAGTATGACATTTTCCCTTGGGTGAAGTTATCGCCATCTGTGAGATTCACGGTGAAGGAAGCGCCCTAGGCTCGCAAGCAGGACAATTTCCGCCAGCTTCCCAGAGGCTGCTGGCCGTCTAAGTCAGCCGTGCTAACAGGTGCTCTCTCTCTCCCCCAAGGAATCACTCCTGCTAGGTACCGGGGAGGAAAATGCCCATTTTATTTTAGTACTGGCGAAACTCTCAGGGAAAAGGCAAGGAGGAGAACATACTCTGTGGTTACTGGTGAGCTGTAGGAATAAATGTTCAGCTTCCCTATAACTTACAAAATAAGAAGATTTCATTTTATGTAATTGTATCTTGAGCTTCTAGGGAGAATAAAAAGTGACATAGCTGAGCTGATCATTATTTGTTGACATTTCACGGTCTTCTAACAAAACGATGCTAGAAGAGGAAAATAAAATACCAAGTCACCTTCCTCGCCCTTGGGGTATGTCTTTGAATGACCGTATGCAGCCTTCCTTTTCTCCTTCAGTAATAGACATACCTGGGCTCACTCTGCAGCCCATTCCTTCCTGGCTTGGTGATCTCAGCCCATTACCTAACCTCTCCTAGCCTCTGTCTTCTCATCTGTTAAATGAAGTTCAAAGCCTCTGCCCCAAGGGTTGCAGTCAGGGTTGCATGTGACAGTACATGGAAAGCTGACCCTTCCTACACACTCTCTCCATACACTCTCTCTGCCTGGGAAATCATGAGCCCCCAGTATAGGTACCTCCCTCCTCTTACCCTTCCTGGCCCAACCGGTATGCAACTGTCTGCTCCTAAAAGGCAAACATGGCTGCCGCTCTCAGAGAGGAGGCAGTATCTACACAGCCTCCCACCTCCTGGAGCCCAGGCTGACTTGTTCTGCTGGCTGTGACCCCAGGGTCCCATTCTGGAGGCACAGCCCCTGATGCTTCTGTCTTGGACATGGTCCAGCCCTAGGCTGGGGTCTCGCTCAGGGAGTGTGGCCAGCCCTCCAGGCTCCCTCCCGGGGACTAGATGCTGTCTTGAGCTTCAGCTCCTAGACAACCCTCCCTCAGGCTAGCTGCCACTGGGTGGCTCCGGAGGCCCACACATCCCCAGCTGGTGCTCCTTCTGTTCTTCTGTCCTTCTGCTCCAGAGTGGCACAGGCCCTGCTCCCCTACCTGAGCCAACTGCCAGCTGCCGGCTAGAGTGCAGGCCGCTCTGGCCTCCACCTGGGCTGCGGCCTGGAGACCGTGCTGCCCCAGGGCCTGGCGCATCTACCCCGGTGCACAGAAGGGGCCAGGCCGCAGCTTGCTGTCAGCAGCATGGTGGGAAATGTGTGTTCTGGCGGTGAATGGACCTGAGTCAAATCCTTGCTCTACTACCTGCTAACCAAGCCATTTCAAATGACTGCTTCATCTCTGAGGCTCAGTGTTGCCATCTGTACACTGGGGAGAGCAACCCAGGGAGCCCGCGGTGATGGCTAACTGGGCTCACACATGTTTAGAAGCTTTAGGACAGGGGCACCTGGGTGGCTTAGTCAGTTGAGCTTCTGACTTTGGCTCAGGTCGTGATCTCACAGTTCATGAGTTCAAGCCCTGCGTTGGGCTCTGGGCTGACAGCTCAGAGCCTGGAGCCTACTTCAGATTCTGTGTCCCCCTCTCTCTCTGTCCCTCCACAGCTCATGCTCTATCTCTCAAAAAAAATGAATAGACATTAAAAAAAAAGTTTTTTAAAGAAGCTTTAGGACAAAACATGCAGGTATTGCTAAGTAAAAAGTAACCTTTTAACAGGGTTATTAACATTACTATCAAATAACCAATTTATTGTTTATTAAATGTTCTCGACCTGACACTCTCCAATGCTTAATAGTTTTTAGCTGTCTTCCATAACTACCCAGGGCTTGATATCAGGTGACATTACATCACTTCCAAGAAGTGCGGGTGAATTTTCTTTTCTCTAATGTCCTAAAATTTTCATGTTAGGACATTAGGCTATTAAGAAAGGAAAAAAGAAATGCTTTTGGATTAAAACAAACCAAACGTTAGGTCATTGGTGTTGGTGGTGACTCTGAAGCATGCCTCTACCAAACTGCCTGTGTGTGGGGCGCCCAGGTGTCTCAGTCAGTTAAGTGTCCGACTCTCGGTTTTGGCTCAGGTTGTAATCTCACCATTCATGAGTTTAAGCCCTGCGTCCAGCTCTGCACTGACAGTGCAGAGCCCACTTGGGATTCTCTCTTTGGCACTCTCCTGCTCACTCTTTCAGTACCAATCAACTTAAAAAAAATTTAAAAAATAAAAGCTGCCTATTTGTGGAAGTGGGTATATGCATGCGTGTAACTGCATGCATGTGTGTGCACACATGGCTCTCTACAGGTGCAACTATGCAAATGCTCACGAGCGTGTCTGTATACACATGCCAGGGTAAGTGAATGTGTGCGTGCAGATACGCATGTGTGTGGAGTATGGATACCCGTGCCCTCTGCCAGAAGCCAGACGCTCCATCCTGAGCCAGCCTCCCATGGCTTCTTACCTCCATGTTTCTGCAGAAGGTGGCATTAGTGCCGAACAGGATCTGGCACTGCTCGTCGGCGCTGTAGTGCATGCCTGGCAGCTTGTGAGGGAGACGCACCGCATGCTGGCTCCTGGGGTCTGTAACCAGCAAACACGTGCTGACTTTTGACCTGAAACAGCCAAGTGGCAAGTTGACTTGCAAGACTACTTCCGGGGTCTTCGTTTTGATTTGTCACTCAAGAGAAGGGGAGGAGGATGCATCTCCAAATTATGTATGGGAAGATGACCAGGCACTGGACATGTGGACTGCGCTTTTTTAAGCTCTTTTTCTACCTGGCCAAATGCAGATCTTTACTATGAAGACAATGAGGGCTGAGCAACTAGGAAAGGACCTGGAAAAACACCCATGAGGCTAATGTACTTTTCTCAAGTTTGAGCTTTCTTGGATGAAAATCTATTTCTGAAATAGATTCCAACGGTATTTTCTTAGACTACGTCTTTAAGGGGTGCCTGGGTGGCTCAATCAGTTAAGTGTTTGATTCATCATTTTGGCCTCTTGGTTTTGGCTCAGGTCATGATCTCATGGTTCATGGGTTTGAGCCCCACATACGGCTCTATGATGAAAACTGTGATGCCTGCTTAGGATTCTCCCTCTCTCCCTCTATCTGCCCCTCCCCTGCTTGCTATCTCTCTCTCCAAATGAATAAATAAATGTTAAACAAAAGAATACATTTTAAAGCAAAATTGTCATGAATAAAGAGAAAACAGAAGTTAGGGTCATTTTTGCTTTATTTTGAGTGAAAACAAAGTGCTTATTTCAAACTGCAGACTCTCTCAGAGGGCTTGTGTCAAGGCTGTGGCAGCTGATGGGTCTAGGTTCCCACACGAGCACACCTTCTGCCCTCGGTAAGAACTGGCTGGTGGCACCATCTGTAAAGGACGTTGGGATTTCAACCAGGATAGAAATGTTTAGAGATGTTGAGAACAACTCTGAAAGACTGAATTGGGGGCTGGGAGCCTGTGGTTCCCTTAGGAGGTTAAATCCTTGAATGCTTTTATTTTTCAATTCCCAAAAGCATGGCAGATGGTGGTAGAAAGGAAACCTAGCCTCGCCCCAAGATTCTTAAAGAAGAGAGTTGCACACCAAGTAAACACAGGCTGACATTGGCCACCTCCCCCAGGCTCAGACACACACAACACTATAACAAAGGCAGTGGGACCAGCAACGTGTATATGAGCAAACAAAAATATCCTCCCTTGTTTCACCCTTCTGGGGAAAATGAAACAGTGTCAAGTGGCTGAAAACATTTCATGAAGATTCTGTGATAACAAGTACTGAGGAAGAAACAGACGCTATTAAAACCAATGAGTCCGTTTTTAAGCCTTGTGTAGCATACAATTTCCCCACCCACAGGAAATATCATGAAAGAAGAGCCAGGATGAGGACACAAGGCAGAGTGATGTCTGGCTGCTCCATCCCGAATTCACTGGGTGCTCAATGTGTTATTGAACTGCAAAACTCTATAGGCAGGTAAGACTCATTGAGTCCCTGGTCCCTTCCATCACCAAGCGGTAGACAGATGAATACAACTAAGTAATGAAGTGATCAGGGTCTACCCATAAATCTGTAAGTTTATCCCTGAGGTCTTGACATGAAGGGATCCTCATAAGGACATAAGCAAAGACTTTGTGTGACAAAGGTCTGAAATCAGACGGCCAGCTTTTCTGTAGAAACCTGCAAGTGGAAGGGTGCAGGTATGTTCTGGAAAGTAGGTAACAGGGCCCATCCCTACATGTGAGGGGGGAGGAGGGTGAGCTCTGCCCAGCGAGTTGCCTGCTGTCAAAGGGAGCAGGCTGAGCATTAAGGAAGCACCTTTTTCTGTAGCAGCTGTGGGACTCTGCTATGGTGGTGTCCACTCCGAGTCAAAATACTGCAGAGAAATGAAATGGGGTTCCTTTCAAATCCTGGTCATTGTGTTGATATTCAGTCCATCCACAACACATGTACGGGTAGCAGCAGGGTGCCCAGCATCCTACCAGATGCACACTTGGGTGGAAGCTTTGGCCAGATACAGGAGACTGTGCACTGACCGCTTTGTTAGCCCAGATCAGAGTTCTAGGTGATTCACTTCTCCTTCCCACACTTGCTAAGACTCCAATTATTGTGTGTTCTGGAAGTACTCTTTAAAATTTTTAGAAAATATTTTTATTCTCTTTTTTTTTGAGGGGGGGGCGGAGCCCAAGGCGGGGCTCCATCTCATAGCCGTGAGATCGTGACCTGAGCTGAAATCAAGAGTCGGAGGCTTATCCGACTGAGTGCCCCAGGGACCCCAGAAATACTTTCTATTGTAGCGTTTGTAGAGCATGATTCAAGGACTTACTTGAGGAAGTTTTCCAGGTCATCTCGGCTGCAGGATGACCAAGAGAGGTCACTGGGGTTCCGACCTTTCACCCACTCTCCTGACATGATGTGGGATCTGCCTGCGCAGGACGAGTGGTCATCATCATGGTTCATCCCCAGGCTGCCCGAGGGAAAGGAAAAGGAGAGAGGGATACTTATGCTACAGGCTTTCATTGGCAGTGCCAGCTTCTAGCACATCGTGCTACCTCAGATCAGGTTTGAAATACAAAGCATGACACAGGCTGAGACCCAGTACTCTGCTGTTCTCAACAACGCAGACCAACAACCATGAGTGTACAGAGACATACGGCAGTGACTTCCTTACTTAATGAAGACGGATAGAGCAGACACCAGTAGCATTTGCTAAATAAATGAATAAATGAAAAAAATACATTACTATGCTGTGATATTAGAGTCCTTACACTGTAAACTTCTGATGGTGACACTTATTTTTGACACTAAAACAGCCCAATGTTAATGACCTAGGTGTATTGTTGCCCTAAGGAGAAGTCTTTATGTGAAGGTCTAGTGGGAACCACCTAGGGCTTTGACTTATGTAATAATATCATGGGTGTAAATCTTCAAATCAGTGGAAAACGAGGCTTTTCTGTCTTTCACATCATCATACCTGGGTCCACCAACATCGTACCTGTTGCTTTCTGTTGTCACGTTGTACCTAATAGACTAGGATGCCTGCCTAGATGTGTGTAGCTGACCATGCATTAGAAGCCGAACATTGATCTTAGTTTGCTCACATGCTGTCATTGGAGTAACTTGAGGTACAGAACATATGAGATCAGATGGCCCACACTTTGCTGACCTGTGACATCCAGGACAGACATTCACTGTGCAGAAGGATGCTCATCCTTTGCCAGCAAGCACAATGGAGAAAACATGTACTTCCTTCCATTCAAAAATATTTACCAGGGGTTTCCCAAGTGCCAGCTGATGGACTACAAAGAGAACATATAATGGTGCACAAAATGCCATCCCTGACTTCAGATCACTGCCTGCCTGGGCAAGGAGATGACACAAACAGAGAGAATTATAAAAAGAGGTTCTAAAGGCTTTTCCAGAGCCACGTTTTCCACTTTCCCTCATATGTTTCTGACTGTCTTCTATCAATTCCCCCTGCTTGCTGCTTAATCCTGGGGTCTCTGGACAGGGGTCCGCCTGTGTTCTTACTCTGCACACCCTCCAAGCCACTCCATACTCTCGTCCATGGAGACCCTCCCTTCATTCCACCACCACCATGTGGAGCTGGATTAGCCAAAGCCATCTTAGTCCTTGGAAAATACAGCACACCTGTAACGCATGCTCTTCAATCCCTGGACTAGCAGGGCAGTCTCTGATCACCCTCATATGTCTGCTCCTGTGAGTTAAGGGTGTGCTTATCAAGACTTAACTGTATTTATTGTTAAGCCTTGTTATTTCAATTAATACGTGAATGAACAAGAACAAAAGTAGCTGTTTTCATGAAAACTAACTTAGCTCACTAAAAATAGACCACTGTCAAATTGGATGTGGGCAAGACAAGTATAAGAGATGAGGGGAAAAAATATCATAAAAATCTGGTCCAGACTGCTTCACAAGGATTTTTTTATGTTCCACTCAATCTAAAAAAGAAGAAGAAACTGGAATTCTAACTCATTTGATTATACTTGTGGTTTGTGTGAAGAGGGTGATGTGCAAGGGCTATCGGCAAACAAGTACCCTCAAAGAAAAAGCTTTCACTCCCACTGCAATATTGGTGAAAACATTTTCATGGCTTAAGCTTAAACTGAATGTTTAAGGCACCTAAGTATAATTTTTTTTGTTTCTCCACTTGGACCTTTTTTTTTTTTTTTTTTTTTTTTTTTTTTTTTTTTTTTTTTTTTTTTTTTTTTTTTTTTTTTTTTTGGTCAGTTGGTCAATTGACCAACTACTATCCTGTCAGAAGAAAGCTTATCTGAGGTGCCATGGACCCACATGTTGGTGGTCTTGTTTTCCTGTGGTCCAGACCACTCTACTAGACCTTATCCTGAACACGACTCTCTCTCTCTGCATTTCTCAAAAGGCTCTTTCAACTCCCCAAGGCAGCCTTCTATCCCAGTTTCTCTACCAGGGACTGGCACGGAGTGGGGACTCTGTGAATATTTATTGAATGAACTAGTTATTTAACACTGGGGAAAGCACCGCAAAACTCAGAGAATCCACATCCACTACAGGGCTGCTAAGTCGAGTGCCGTGGCGGCCTTCTCTGGTTAGACTCAGTCTTGCCCTCCTTCCAAGAAGCCAGGTATCCATCCAATTCAAGTTAAATGAAGACCAAGAGACTGTCCGATAAATCTGACCAATAGGAGTAATGTGGATATATTTCTATTGGTTACTTCACTGAATAAAGTGAGTCCTGTTTTTCAGTGCCATTACTCAGCTTTTTAGGTTTTTTTTTTCCTTGCTTGTTATCTACCTATACCAACAGGTGTCTACAGCTATCTATCTGTCTATCTGCCTACCATCTCTTTGTTTTGTGTTAACTTTTGAAGGAACTACTGGTTTTTCAAGAGCTTTTAACAAAGGATGCTAAGAGTCACCTTAAATTTAACTTAGGGTTTTATGTGATATCTTTAAATAAAACTAGGGATAGAGCTTTCAAAATAAATAGATCTTCTGACAATTCTGATGGATTTCAGTGAACTCTGCTACATGTGTACAGGTTCCAGAAATAAAATGTCTCAAGAAAACAGTGGCTCCGTTCCATCTTCAACAAGGTGTAAGCAAGGCACACAGACCAGGTGAAACTGCTTTGTTTGTCACCCTTGGGGAATCCAATCCTACGGAGAACCAACCTGTAAGTCAGTTTTTCTTCTAGCTTTGCATTTTTATAAGCCAGCTCCCATCATCCTGGGCTGGGATCCCCTGAGCGGCCACCAGATGGGTTTTTTCAAACAACAAGGATGTTGTTTGGGAAGCCACAACTGGAGGAGATCCAAGTCCTGGCAGAATGGCCTCACCACATATGGAGGAACATTTCGTCTGTGACCACTTCTAAGTTTTCTCTCGTGGTTAGGTTGGTTGTAAAATGAAAGAGGTTCCTTTGCTCACACAGCCAGGCTCTGCTGGCCAGAGGGCCTGGTCTCTCAGGAGACAAAACTATGTTTAAAACAGTGCTCAGAAAAGCTAACTACGTCGCCAATAACCATATGCCTACACAGTGTGCTATGTTAGTATTTCACTATGCCGGCCCCACAGAAGGACTTCCCCAAGGAATGTTCCAGTCAGCAAGATCAGCCAAGAGTGGGATTCTTGGATTTCTGGAGTCTGTTTCTAACACAGATCACGCTTGATCTGGTTTAAAATGTTCGAATGCTAACTAAGTGCCTCATAAATTTACAGTTTGATGAACTAGCATTGGGCTGGGAGTCTTGATATTTGGGGTTTACATAAACTACTGTTTAGGCTATTTTTAGATTAAATTCAGGATTACTTGACTGAGAAATGTATGTTGTTTTAGGTTTATGTCCCAGGGCATCTATTACTTCTGGCAACATTATATTTAACAAAAACAAATAGCATTAAGTGCAAACAGTAATTCTAACTCTAAGTAATGGTGGGGTTAAGCACAGACAGGCCCCACATCACATGTGACAGAGATTTATCAGACACAATCACAACTTAATGGCCTTGAGTTGATTTTATCTTAAAACAAGTAACACACTGCTTCTGTATTTGCTTCAGGAAATCCAATATATACCACGCAGGGAGTTCTAAGAGAATCCCTACAATGCTCTACCCTTCCTAGCTTCACCTCAAATCCTGAAAACCATGGAGAGGGTTGAGCGTTTTAGGGCCGGTGTATCTGCCATTCTTAAAGCATTGGTTTTACTTGGCTCTGAGTCTGTGTGTTTCTCAGAAGGTTTGGGATTCCAACAGCAGGTATACAATCAGGTCCCACTTCCCCTCAAAGTAATCTTGGCTGGGAACCTGGGGAAATGGCTCGCATGATGTAGCCTCTCCAATGACGGGGTTGCAGGCCAGCCCAGGCCAACCCTATTAGCTCTGTGGTAATACTGACAGTCCATTTTCACTAAGTGCTCATGGATGCTGCAGTAATAGGGATGGCTCATGGCAGTTTCTGGGAAATGATAGGTAGACTTGTATTAATTCATATTGCTTGACATGATAATAACTAACACACTTCCAGCTTTATATTGGAAGGAAAGTTCTCAACTGTCAATACTTCTTTGACAAGAACCACACTGTGCCCTCAATCTTCAGCTACGCAGAAATGTCACTTACAAGTATTAAAAGTCACCAGGGGTAACAGGCTGAACTCATTTATCCAGTTTAAATAGTCAAGATCATCAATAATCTCATTGAGAGGGAACAAAACAAGTAGGCAAATAACATCAAAATCCTCTCACCCTGGAGAGGAGTTTCTGTTTGTTTCTGTTTTGGTCTAAGGAAATGAGCCTATCAGCTTTCAGGAATTCAGTAGCAATACGACCAACAGAGTAGGTCTGGGATCTCTACGGACTCAGCTTTGCCTCCTACACACACAGGATCATCATGGTAAAAATGATCCACTGTCACCATGAAGTTAGGATCACCAATGGGTAAATAAGGATCAATACAGCGTTGGTGTTAAGTGCACTTTGCTGTAGTGGATTATATCGCAGTAGGTGACAATTGACAAGACACATACGGTATAAATTGTCTCTCTTCACTCGCCAGAGTAACAAAAACACTCCAAGTTCCTGAATTTATATATAAGGGATTTTGAAGTCAGGTATATGAGTCAGGCCTGTCTTCTCCTTCTGCCTGGGCTTGTGTATTGTGTGTTTATTCATAGAGAAGATTCCCATCAAATGGGCTCTTAACTTTTCATTTAACAAAAATGCAATTAGCTGCATTGAGAGACAGGTAAAGAGAGAAGGAGCATAACCTGAGTGATTCTGGCACTCACGCTGGCCCCTGAGCGTGTACGTTTGCATGTGCAAGAGTGTGTATCCCCTAAGACAGTGTGGCATTGTGACGGCATTGTAGATCTGCCCTTCTCTCAGGGGGTTTCCGGGGCGCTCTTTGTAAGCACACCATCACGCTGAGGGTGATACTGGTGTTCACAACACACATTTTTCATCC